GATGTATGTGGTAGCCATCAGTTCATCTTTCAGAGGTGGTTCACTTTGTTTTCTAATAATTTGGTTGTAAACATGTGAATATGTAGAGAACTCTGCTGCCATCTTGCCCAGACACATGTTATTTTATATAGTAATAATGAACACTGTTCAGTAACTATTAACTCTTTCCTGAAATTTTGGAATTTCTTTAACTCAATTTTCTCAAAATGCTTATATTCATAAGCATTTTGCTTTGTCCCTTGGACCTCTACCAAATTTCAGTGTTTTTTAATTTTATGATTTGGTTACCTTATTATAGACTAGAAAAATTGAAGGATAAAATGCTAGTATACTGTGAGGTAATATTGAAATTCTCCTAAGGTATTATTTTACGTTAAAGAGAACTTAATGCATGTGCACAACCACAGCAGAACCCTCCTCTTAACTGTGAAACTTTCTCATGTCTTACTTCCTTTCCTTTGGTTTACTTTGCTTCAATTTCCTACATTTTTCCCAAGGTTACGTTACAAAGACACCTAAATATATTTGCTCTTCCACATATAATACCTCCTCTTTCTCTTCCTAGGTTGGCAGGCTTTTATTTATATTTTTAAAAACACTCTCAAGAAAATTATTCATGTTCACAAATGTAGTATCTCAGATATTTACTTCAGATTTACAAAATATAAATAAGTACATATATAGAATTTTGTAGAACAGGAATTACAGTTGTAGACATGTACTCGACACAAAGTATTTAACCGAAATTTGTGTAAAGAGATTGAATTTCAATGTGGTACAGAAGATTAGTAAAGACAGTAGTGTTGATACAGTGCCTGAATGTATATAACCAATATATTAAGGCATTAATACAGGTGAGAAAGCGCTACTATGGTTAGTGCTGTAGTGTTTGTGATTCTTATCCATATATGATGAGAGATTAATAATAATGCAATATATAATAACTGAAAAAGATCTACTGGGAAATGACTATTTTTGTGGAAGAAAATTAAAAACATAAAAATAGCACTGCACAAACTAGTATGGTAAACTTAGATATTAAAATATTTTTATCTATATCAAATGTCAAGTAACTGAAATATACTACTAACAAAAATTTTATGATTTACATCAGTATTCTCAACACTTTAAGAATAGTTGTTTTAGTTCATCCATATGAATGGATCATATTTGGACGTGCAATAAGTTAATCTTCTATTTATACTGATTGCAAATAAATGTTATTGACAACACAATAAATACAGTATATCATTAGGGAGTACAGCTATTAAAATGAGTATAGCAGAATTTAAACTGACTTCCAAATGATAACTTACAGAAATGAAAGTCTGAATATTTAAAACTTAACAAAGCCAACAGACTAAAAGTCTGAGAACCACAACTCAAACACCATAAAAAGGCAATATTGAGTTTACAGAGACTCAACTGCAAGTCACTGACAAGTTTATATTGGCACTATACAAAGAATAGAAAAAATGGTCCCAATAATCAAAATGTATCAGTATTGTTAGGCTAAAATAAATAGAATTAGCAAGCCCATTGGTTGTAGCAAAAATAACACCAATACAAAGAAAGCCAGAACATTAACACACTGCAAGAACTTAATCACATTATTTCAAAATTTCTACCTGGAAAGAAGCTTCTTTCCACTAATGTTTATTATATATACACCTATGGATAATGTTTTTAGAAAACAAGAGGAAAGGTAACATTTCAAAAAATGGAACCCCGTTAGTAATAACAGAAAACACTTCTCAAAGCAAATCTGACACTGGATTCCTAATCTAATTACTATATTAAGATCCACCAATCTTTGGTTGAAAGTAAACTACATCAATTCACATAATGCTTAACGACAAAGTTAGCCAAAACAAGTGGTAATGTTAACAACACAGTAAATGACTTTTTAATCAATAAAGTAGTTTACCATACTAGTTAATAATGCTGCCAAAATGCACAGGTTGCATTACTAATGACATGAGTAATGAGTGAACTAATTAAAGCTGCTTTATATTGAAGCTCAAAATATGTACCCTTCATTCTTTGGCTTAAATGGTTTATCAAATAATTACTAGGAGATAAAGTATTTAAATATATATGACAATACTATGCTTTTAGTACAATTCTCAGACTTTTTTTTCCCCCCCAGGGGTGGCTCATTTATGTTAGAAAACAAATGAAAAAAACTGGAGTCTAATGCACAAAATAATGAATTTTTTTGAAACTAAGGTTAGGAAACAAGAGCCAAAACATAACACCTTGCAATTGCAAAAGTACAAAATAATTCACGAATAAAAGCCTCATATATTTCTAAAAGTGTAGTTAAGTTGAACAGCAATAATTAAGAAAGGTCAACACCTTACTTTAATGTTAATGATACACTGGCAAAAAAAGTAGCCTTCTTGAATATTATGGGAATTCCAACTGCCTACATGTATTCATACCGAACCAGAGTTTGTAGAGTTTACACACATCTGAATTGAGTATTGAATTAGAATCCTCACTTATCTGTGGAAATGCAGTTACGTTTATATCAAATTTAGTAAGCCTGAATAACTCATTCAGCAGGTTACTATGACTTCAGTTGTTATTAAAAATCAATCTATGAAATTTGGCTCACTCATACATAAGTACAAAAAACAAGACTTGCATTTTTCCATAAGGAAGGCACTTAAAACCAATGACTGTTTTAGAACAAGACTAGTTTAGGAAACTCAGTGTCTAACAGAGAAATAACCTAGTGAATGGACCTAGAGTACACAGAAAGAAAACAATCTCGTGTGATATCTAATTTTATGAAAATATGTAAGATATCTCATTGATGAGACGTAATTTTATAATAAATATTAAACAGTATGGATTCATTTCTCAAAGTTCACAAGAATTGAATCTTTTAACCACTTCAGTGACGTTATTAACATTTCTTTTAATAGAAATCTTACCAGTCATTGCAAAAGCGGCAATTCAGGGCTCATCACTATCTTTCGATAAATTAATTGACAAATCAGGAGTATATCAGTTAACTTTTCAATAATGCCATTCACATCAGAGCAAACGTTCTATACTTTCACCTGGAATAACCTCAGCTATAAGGTTTCTGTTAGGAACAAGAATTTGTGTTCAGTGAAATTCACACACTGTGCTTACACAAGAAATGTAGCCGCATAGCAGGATTTGACAAAATTAATTTAAAAGGCAAGAGGAAAAGATAAGTAATTTTTTTTTTTTTTTTACAAATGAGCATATTCTTTTTTGTAAATGGAAGTATTGTATACATTCTTAAATGGCTTGATGCAGCGAGGTTGGGTTGGCTGAGGATTCAGAGAAACAAGGGAACCTGGGGATAAAAAAGACTTTGAGAAGTGTAGTGTCTACCAAAGGGTAGTATCAGGATCTTTGTAGAATCAATTCTGGCCTTAATTCCAGCATTTCTCTTTTACTGACTTTTTGCTGATTGTGAGGGATGGAAAATCTGGAGAGTAATTGGAATATTTAATAGACCTGGTATCACAGCACCCTCTATCACACTACCATATACACACATCTATACGTACCAGTTACCTTAATGTGTGATTTTCCATTTAAGTAGAACATTTCTGATTCTAAGGCTGTTTATTACTTTCCAGCAATTGCATGAAAAGGTCTATTCTCTCGTTTTCATACCTCTACTCTTCTAATAGCAAGGAGTATTGCTGACAAAGCAATCCTGAGTTATTTCAGGTGAGGTCCTCCTACCAACAGAACTGATCAGAGCTATAATCATCCATTCTACCCTCCAGATCTTGCAGTTGGGGTTAAACCGGGGACTTGTGACGCATGTGGGCTTGAGAACGACTGCTCTAGGAGAAATGCCTATGGAGCAGTCAAGTTAATAGGCGCTAATATCTGAATTCGAAGAACTCACTTGACAAACTTTTACTATGTACTCAGAAACTCAAAGCACCATTACAATTAAACACTGAAAACAATGCCTGGGTACCTAATGTTTGGTCTACAAACTTCAGGGAACACCCAGGTTTTCAATCAAGAATTTATTATCAAGGGAGAATTTATGTTTATTTTGCTAACTTTTTCTCTCTGGTTATCTGAAAGAATTATACTATACATCAAATCTATACTCAGCCTGAGTTCTTCTAAGGCTACTTTTTTTTTTTTAAAATTTCCTTAGTCTGTCTTAAAGTGAATTATCTACAGCAATCTCTGCTTCACAATGGGCACCATATACCGACACAGCACACTTCCACAACACTGTTTTAATAGGGAAGGAAACAGGTTTCACAGCACAAGTCCACCTAAGCCACAGTCTGTGCCATTCCCCCGCCATGCGACAAAAGGGGGAACCCAGTCCCGGCAGACTGAGGAACTCGTGCGGGGATGACTGGGAGGAGGTCAGGAAAAAGGCACAAGGAAATAAAAAGAGAGAATCGGCCTTTTCTTGGCTTGAAACTACATAGAGAACTATTTTCCCTCCATCTTGGGCACAGACGGCCCCTCGCACAAGAAGCTTCCGCTTCAAACTCCGCCAAGTACCTCCTGCGCGGGAACTGGGCAAGGCGGAGACTCAAGAAGTCCCACCCTTCCCGGGGCGAGAGAAAGGAAAACCCGGGCCGCCGTTTCTCTGGAAGGTTCCAAGAGAAAGCAGCGCAGCCGAACGCAGGCGGCGGGAGACTCGGCACCAGATGGCGCTGCCGCATCGAGAGCGAGAGCCGGCGCCGCCAGGGAGACGGGAAGAGGCGTCACCGGATCCTTACCTTCGCGGCTGTCGCCGGAAATGCGCGCTGGCGCCAGCCTCTGATCCCGGATGTTAAGACATCTGGAGCGTTCCCGCTTGGGGGCGGGGACAGAACCGGAACCGAACAGTGACCGACCGGCCTCGGGGCGGAAGCCCCGGGCAGTGCCTGGCGGCGGGGGGGGGGTGCGGGGGTGGGTTCTAGTGCGCGCGCCAGGCCTTGGCGGGAGCGCTAGGGGGCGGGGCACCGCCTTGCGCTTGCGCAGTTTAGGGACGTAGGGGCCGTTGGCGTGTGCTTGTTTCTCCATCTTTTTGTGTTTCCTGCTCCGGCAGGGCGGAAATGGTGGCGTAGGCTTGTTGTTTTTTTCCCTCCTCCCGCCTACAGCGTTTAAGTTTCTGGCTGTGAGTCAGGTTTCTGGAAATCTTTGTGGAAAGTTAATGATATATGAGGTAAAAACTCAAGCTGTATTTTTCTCTTGACTCTCAGGCGGTCCAAATGCCTCCTGGGCGCGGTCCCAGGGCCAGGGAGACCCAGGCTTTCCCTTAAATCTCTTCACTGACCTGCCTGGATTCACTCGGCGTCTGCGCTTCAATCGTGAGGCGGCTAGGGATGTCACACGGAAAGCAGAGAAGGCACATGGGCTTCATGATTCCTGTGGAACTGCAACATTTTACAAAAATTATTAAAACGTGTGTTTGACGTTTCAGCAATACTTTTAAAGAATTTAAGGCGCTCCTGTGACTGTTTTTCCTATTTTGTCAGGGTAAACATTTTGTAGTTTGTATTATATGATGTGGTCTTGCCCCTTAGCAAATTCATTAACTAACGGAAGGCCGCTTGTATAAAGTCATCCCAAGGAAAAGCGTCCCTTTCCCATTTTTACAAGGTGAGGGCAAACCACTTGTAATAGATGGACCGCAGTAACTCCTGAGAGTGCTCTGGCTTTGTTTTGTTTATAGATGCAGCGTAGAAACAACCAAGTATGTTGCAAAATCAAATCTGTTTGAATCCACATCCGTCCTGTTCATTTTAGAGTGTAATTCTAAAAATGTTAGCTGCAAGGTGCTCAGTTCTTCCAAGACATTTCTTCAGTTTTTTTTTTTATCTTTGTATTTCAGGGCTCTTTCCAGTCTGGCCTACAAAACAGCTGAGTACTTAGAGACTTTTAAGCAAATATACTGAGAAACAGCGGTGCACTAGGGAAAGTCATGATAAGAGGTAAAAGCAAATACATTAGATTATGTCTAGTAGCCAAAACGGGCATTTTTGCTGTTCTTCGATAAAATCTTTTGGTAGTCTGGGTGTAAGGGGGTGTTTCTTGGCTGAAGAGTGCCATGACTCATGTTTATATGAAAAGCCATGAAAAAATTGAGGGCAATAGCACAGTATCATTAAAGACTGACCAGAAAGAGGACAAGTAGGTGGCAAGACATCCAGGAGGAAACATAATGGAAACTAGTAGGAAGTGTGTGAAAGATCAGAGTTGTAATGAATATAGAAAGAGACCGATTTGAAAGAAGATGGGAGAAAATAGTTTTTACACCTGAAACTAAATGTTTGGAATAATTGTGAGGCTGGTCCAAATTTGCCACTGTTGTACCAACGTACCTTTTCACAGTAAGAATAGGTATTGGGACTTAGCTGGTGGGGTAGGGGTTAGGCTCAGCGCCATCACCTTATCACTGCCTCGGCCTGATTTCCATTCCCCAGCCAGGAAGCTAACCCACATGGCTAACCCACATGGCTAACCCACATGGCACAGCGGACCTCTCCTGTCTTGCCCACTGCTCCCCTCAGTAGTGTATTTCAGTCAATCTGCCTGCGTTCTATTCCCCCGGCTCTGGTGAATCCTCTCACTCCCCACACCTCTGGCCTACACCCTTGTTCTTGTGCATAAATAAATAAAAATCTTTTAGAAAAATAGTTTGTATTCACTTACATATTTATATTCACATTAGTGACAAGTGTTCTGCAAATATCTAAGCTTTATTCTTGGCTACTGCTTGTCTGGCTACCGCTTGTCTGGTAAAGCCACATGCATGAATTTAGGCATCTCTCTTTAGTTGCTGCACTCAGCAGTTCAACAATTAGCAGACTATGAGTGGGCTCTCCACACTGTCTGCTCATCAGACTTTTCTCTATACTTTCTTCTCTTTCCTAAACCAAATATTTTATTCTTTCTCTTATTACCTCAAATCACCAACTTCCTCTTCAACCAATGATTTTCCCATGTACATTTTCGTAGAAAATTGTCACCTTAAGCTGAGTGGTCCCTCATCTTTCCACCATTTAATCTGTTGCAACTGCCTTCTTTAAATCTCTTCCCTCTAGTTTAAAAGTATGGAAGATGGATGGGTCTATCAAAAGTCAACACTTGATATTGTTAGTCTTTGGCTTTAGTCATTTGAATAGATATATGTTATTTCACTTTTGTAAATTGCTGGAAACATTTGCCCATTTTTTAAATTGAGTTCTTATAATTGAGTTCTTAGGAGTTACTTACATGTGTATTCCCTATTGTTGTTTTTTCCATATTGAGGTAGAATTAACATTGAAAGTTTGGAGAAAAGTATATTACCATGTATAATAAACTGTATCCTTTGACTAATGCTTCTCCATTTTCCCTAGTCCCCGTATACACACACACACACACACACACACACACACACACACCTTTTAATCAAAGTGTGTATTGTGAATATTTTTCTCCCAGTTTGTGGTGTTTTCATTTCCGTAATAGTGGCTTTTGAAGAGCACTTTTCATAAGTTGTGTTTTTGTAGGAACACTGTAGATATTATCCAAATATAAAAGTTCAGTAGCATAAAGGTATAAATAAAATCCTTGTTTTCTTTTTAATACTCACTAAAAGAAATGCTTTTGAAAACTGGATATCTGCTTTTGAAGCTGATTTATTATTTGGTGGTTTGTTTTCATAATCCATAAAATGAACAAATATAGCTTGGAACAGATAAAATAAGACATTTCTTATAGTATTATCATAAAATAATCCAAATTATGTGCAATTACTAAATTTTGTAATGTTTTGAAAACATCTGCACAAGAAAGTAATGACAGTACAATTTAGTCATCTCAGTCACCATTTCTATCTTCTAGCACCATTTTGTTTTCCATGTTTGAATTTGCAGTTCTGTCACTGAGGTTTGACATTTAATTGTATCTATTCTATAGCTGGGTAAACTTGATTATTTGTATTTACTCTGGAATGTCATATATTGAATTCACTTATATGTACACAGAAAAAAAAATGAAATGTCAAATCTAGAGTACTTTCCCATAACCCCTGCTCTAGTATTGTTTTTAAAGTCACCAAATGCTCCTATTTCAGATCATGATGAGGTCAAGTTGTAGTGTTAAATCTGACCTCTGTGTTTTCTATGAGGGACTGCTCAGTCCTATAACATTCCAATAGTTTAAGTATAGATTTTCTGGTAGTCATCTTGCCTTTTATAATGTGCTTAGATGGGATCAGTAAAACAAATGTGCCTTTTATTTTCCTGAATGGGGTTATTGTAAAGAAATAAGAAGCAGCTATAAATAAGGGTGTAGAATTCCCTTTAGCCCCCAAATACAAATAGTCATTTTGAGAACTAGAACATATTTAGTTCAGCTTTTTTGATAAGGGAAAGAATGTAAGTTTTATCTTCAAAATAAAGCCAATCTTAGCACAAAGCAACCGATAAATTCTAAAAATTGTCCTACACACACACACACACACACACACACTCTGGGGAACACATTGTCATATCTCTTCATATAATTCAGTTATTTTTAAAATCAAAACAATAAGTTGACATTTTCTCACAATTATCTCAAAGTTTATTTGAATTAGTAAAAATCAATTTTATTTTTAATTGGTAGTTTTGATTTTCTGTGGTAAACACAAATTGCTTTTTACTTAAGTGTATTTATTTGAAATTGTCATAGTAAAAATAGCTTCCTGTTACACTTCCTAACCTGTTTTTAAATCACCAGATATTAAGTAAAAGTTATATTGTTTTAAATTTGAATTGGAAGTATCAGTAAGAATTCATCAACTAACTCCTTTCCCTCTCCAATTGGAAACGAATGACTAACTAATAACACTGATTAGTCCTATTGTGCAGATTGTGTTCTTGAAATATACTTCCTCATTAATAGATAACAGAACTTCTTGAAGAAACTTCTGTTTCTAGATTTAGTGACAGGAATGTACAAGGTGAACTTAGAACAATGTCTCCTGCCATGACAAGAAGGCTTGCAGAATTACTGGTGTCTTAAGAGGCTTCTTGAAAAGAACCCTATTGACTAAATAGAAGGACATTTAAACTACAATCATGAGAATTTCAGTGGGTTGAAATTCATCAAATATATTTAAATCCATGAGTTCATATGATATTTTAAAAATCACATTCGAAGGAAGACAGGGAACCAATACATTATCTTTGATGCTAATACTAATAAATGGAGTGAAAGACTCAAGCTACCCTGCTTTCCTATATGAACCTTAACACTAGGTAACCAAATAATAAATAAGTGGAAATATCTCTTCATAAATATATGCCAACTCATAAGTGAAAAAAATGAGTTAAAGATTGTCATGTTGCAACCCCCAATGAATTAATATTCATTTAGCATCAATTGGTGCTAATATCATAAAAAAGAAACAGTCATTATATACTCGTTGATGGAGACAACACTTTCTATAGTCATGCTAGAGGGATTGAACCCAAATCTAATTTAGCTACTGATTTTCAGAAAAACAGAGGAGCAGGTTGAAATATACTTTTGAGCATGCAATTCACAAAATTCAAACAGGAAAACTCTACAGATTTCAGGAAAACTCTTGACATTTAAGGATATACATTTGACTGATAAAACTGAAAAAAATCATGGAAAGAATCACTGTAAAAGTCAAGCTAATGGTTTCATATGGGAGGAAGAAAAGGGTTGCAACTGTTACAGAATATATGGAGCAATTTTAGTGGTACCCTGAGAGTTCTGGCAAAGTTTTACTTCTTGATCTGATGTTGGTTAAATGTTTACCTTTGAGTAATTCATTAAGCTATGCATCTGTTTTGTGTAATATTCTATATGTTTATTTTACAATAAAAGTGTTGTTTTGAAAAAGCACAAATGGGAAGGAGCAGAGGCAAGAGAAAGTTAAGTTCAAATGAGGAGTAGTAGGATAATGATGGCTATTAATGCATGTTTAAAATTCTTTGATAGTTATATAGTCTCCCTGTGTTTTTTTACTTTCTCACTTACAAAATACAACAGCCAAAAAAAAAAAAAAAAAAAATTCCACAGAGTTCCCATTACCTATAGAGAAAAGTGAGATTACTTAAAATGTGACTTCTTACATGGGGACCCAACTTAACTTGTATGTATATCATTTGCTACCTTTATCCCACAGTCACCAACACACTGATTCAAATTAAAATCCTTACTATTCTTTGTACTGTATTCTTTTTGTGCTTTCGTGCTTTTGGGATTCCCTTCCCCTGAAGAACTACTGTTCTTTCTTTGAAACTCAGTTTAAAGGTTATTTCCTCTATGAACTCTTCTTTCCCAAGGCGAATTATTTGCTCTTTCGTCCGTGTTCCCATATCATTTTTTACATACTTTGGCTTAAATCCTTGTAATATAATTTGTATTCTTGACCTTTTCTCCCTAGACTAGAACTCTTCAAGAAAATATGTTTTTTTTTTCCTTGTGCTAGGACAGTACTTGACATATGGATGAATAAATGATTGATGGAATGAATGAGGAGTGAGGAATTGAGTGGTTCCAAAGATAGACACTGCCTAATGAAGCCACTGAGTGCAGCAAAAGTGCAGATACCTAAATCAACTGCACACAAGTAAAAAAATAAAGCCATGATACCTTGAAAGCTTGTTCTATATGTCACTATGTTAAGTGGAACTGTACTACATAATCCTAAATCTTATGTGTTTGCACGTCTCATTCTACTCTTTCACTTCTACATCCACCTTCAATGAATTAAGTAGCAGGATTTGAAAGGGACATTTAAATTCTTCAAGGAAACATAAGGATTCTTCACCGTGGTACTGTCTTTGTTTGTGGTGGGTCTCTGATGACTGCTTTGCAGGACAGGGTACATCAGAAAAGAGTTTAGTCATACGTCTCATGGAGAATACAAGACAGAACTCCAAACTCTTGAAACCCTGACTATATTTCATGTAAAATATAGGTCCAT